AATAACAGTAGAGTAAGGCACTTTACTCATAAAATCCTTTTCTTCTTCATTTGAAGTCGATTGGTCTTTAGACAATATAAAATGGTTTTCAAGAGGCACAGAAGTAGGTTTGCAATCAAGCATACCAAATTTCTTCAAAATTTTAAGCACTAAAGAAATTGATGTACAACTAAGTAAGAACTAGACCTATCCTTGTTAATCCCCATACCAAGGATCTTCCTAGTATGTTCTAGGTCTTTCATATCAAATTTTTTACTCTACTCAATTTTAATCTTGTTTATCACATTCATATTAGGTCCAACTAACAATGTACTATCCACATTAAGTAACAAATACACATATTTTTTATTAGTACTGTGGTGCTGTTAATACAAGCACTTGTTAAACTCACTCCTTTTGAAACCAATAGATAACACATATGACTAAAACTTTTTATATAACTATCATGGAGACTATTTTGGACCATAAAAAGATTTCTTTAGAAAACACACATGATCAGGTTTAGACTTACTTTCGAAACCTTTGAACCGAAAAATAAAAATCTTTTTATCAAGATCACCATGCAAAATTACAATTTTAACATCAAGTTGTTCAAGTTTCCAATCATAGTAAGCAACAAAAGCAAGCGTGACCCTAATAGTGATGTACTTAATAACTGACAACAGATCTTATTATAATCTACCCATTCATTCTGTGTATAACCATTGGCTACTAATCTAGCCTTATTCTCATAGGCTCACTTTCAGTAGTTTCTTCTTTTATCTCATAGACTTACTTGCATCCCACTACAGATTTATACTTTGGTCTAGGAAGTAACTCCCAGGTTTGATTCTTAATAAGTGAACTCACCTCCTCTCATGACAACATGTCATTCCTCACTTTTTCACTCCTCATAGGTCCTTAGTTCTTTATCGGCTAGTTCTTCGTAGTTAGCATAGGCTGTCAAACATCGTCTAGAGTTCCATATGTGGTCTCGTCTTTCTATCTATAGGTAATTGATAATCAGCTGAAAGGTTTTGTTTGATAGGATTGTCCTTAACAATTTTCTCATCACTTTCTAACTCTATATTCTGTAGATTTTTTACATTACTCTCTACCTCGATTCTTCACCTTCTATACAAAAGCATCTCAGACTCATTAAAAGTCATATCTCAACTTATGATTATTTTCACATCCTCCTTGTTCTGTCCTACAACCTATATCCCTCAACACCATCAGGGTAATCTAAGAAGACACATTTCTTAGCTCTAGGTTCTAGTTTTTCTTCACTTTGATGTGAGAAAGCTGCACAAGCAAAGGTCCTCTGCATAGAATAATCATCACAAATACCATACAAAATCTCGTACGAAATATCTCCATTCAAAACAAAGGAGTTATATTAGTAACATAGCATGCAGTCATAACAGTTTTCTCCCAAAAAGACACAGGCACACCAAAACATAACATCATACATCTAACTTTATCAAATACGGTGCAATTCATCATTTCTACAATCCCAATTTACTAAAAAGTTTAAGGTACAGTCCTGTATCTAGTATGCCAGATTGATCACAAAAATTGTCAAATTCAGTATTGCAAAATTTGATACCATTATCAATGCTCAAGTATATCATATTTTTACCTGTGTGGTTCTCCACCTTAAATTTTCCATTTTTAAAATTCACAAAAGGTTTAGATTTATCTCTGAAGAAATAAACCTACACACGTCTGGAGAAATTGTCAATACTAAATAGAAAATATTAGTTACCACCAAAATTGGGATTGCTCTACGGTACCCACAGATCAGTATGAATGTATTCTAACACTCTAGATGTCTTGCATATACTAGATGCAAATGACATCCTATGATGTTTATAGAGTAAACAATGATCGCAAATTAACATGTCAGGTACCTGATCCTTACCAAACGCACCAGGAACTTATGTCCCTTAACACTAACGTTAGCTAACCTATTGTTTCATTTTCGTGTGTGATCAATGTTAGTGATAGTGAAATTTAAACCACCCATCACCTCGATGTGAAATGAAGATGCCATTGTTCTTAGTAGCCTAAAAGGCTCTCTAAGTGCACCCCTAAACATCTTTCAATACTCCATCACCAAGTATACCAGTGAAACATCTGCACTCTAACTCCCCAAGGAAATTAGATTCCTACCCATATGTGGAATGTATCTAACTTTTTTAAATATGTGCATAAAATCACTATCAAATCTGATAGTTAGACTACTTAGACAAGTGATCTTATATGAGACTCCACCCATGCAACTACATGTCCATAATCAAACTCATGCAAATGATGAAACCACAATTTATTTTGTTATAACACGAAAGAAGCATCGAAGTCAAGAATCTACTCATGTATATGAAAGTTCATAGATAGGTTAATTTCACTTGGTTCAGTATCTAAGAGCATGTAAACCTCCCAGGTTCATCTCTCGAGACAATAACATTTACCCCACTGGGTTCACCAGCCCCTTATCTCTCAACTGGTTTTTCTTTTTATGGGACTTATTTATGAAACGTAGTTTCCTACCCATAACATTTTCCTCCCTTTTGTCTTCCTTAGTAACTTAGATCTTCCTCTTCTTTTTTTCTTGCCATCGCTATTTTGCCCCTCTCCACCACAAAAAATGAGATTTACCCCTCACATGGTGAATATTTCTTGCTTTTCTCTCCTTTTTTTTTTTCAGCTTTCATCTCACTCTTCTTGCTCATTAAGAAATTGATGACTATATTGGAAGCAAGGGTCCTCATCCCATATTTTATTGCAATTTTTTTTTCTTCCTTATAGCTATCAGGAATAGCATTCAAGATAATAATAGTTTTATATTCATCAAAAATCATTTCACCACAATTTGTAATATCTTGAACCAATTTATTAAAAGCGCCAAGATTTTCATTTAAATCTTTCGAGGGATCAATTTAGAAATTGAAAAAAATTTAAAGTAAAAAAAAATGTTGGGCATGGATTGAGTCAAATAAAGGTCTTCAAGCTTTTTTCGAAGTTTTTTGGCGCAATCATGTTTACTAACTTTTCATAAAACAGAGTCAAATAAGTGTAAGATAATATCCTTAGTCGCAGTTGCAAAAAAGCATTATCAATAACTTTTGAAGCCTTTTGTTGTATTAAAATCTCTTTAATCTTTTGTTGCCAAATAGAAAAATCACATTTATCGTTTAAGACACTCAACTCAAAATGGTGCATAGACATCTTAACACATAAGATACATGGTATGCAAAGTAGCATTAATAGAAACAATCACACAAAGAAAGTTCTAAAGGTCGCACATATACTCACTGGCGGATCCACAGTGGGTCAAGTGAACCACCAGCTTAAAATTCAATTTATTTATTTATTTATTTTGTAGAAATCAGATTTGAAGCCTCATTCTTTGGGAAATTATTCTTGTTGATGATTTTTTTTGCATTTTCCTATGAAATGGAATTGGGAATCAGGTTAATAAGTACTCCAATTTCTATCTTGTTTTGACGATTTTATGGTAATGAATTATTGTTGTGATTTTTTTCTTTATTTAAACTGGATTGCAGTTGATAATGTAACATTTAGAATTTGCTGTGATTTTTGTGTTTTTTTTTACTTGAATTGATTGTGATGGAAAAATAATTTAAAAGTAAATACGGGTTTTTTTTTTTTTTTTTTAATAATGATTACAATGTTACTGAAAGGATTATTCGTGATAAAAGCGATACATATGATGTTGGAAATAAAAAGGATCAATAAACTTGGTGAAGATAAACGTAATTATGTGTTATTTGTAAATTTGATTGTGTTCCACTAACTCAAAATATTTGCGTCCACCACTGGATATACTCTTGTCTAAATTTCTAGGGTTTTCATGATATTTGCAATCTCAATCTCAATCTCTGGGGAACTATCGACAAGTTAAAGTCAAAGGTAACAGCTCTATTCACAAATAACTCAGCAACAATACAGAATTATGCAACAAAAAATAGAGCCACAAAAATGTTAATATTACAATTTAGTTAATATTACAATTTAGGCAAATAGTCCTAAAATACTAGCATCAAGTAAGGCTACAATGCTATTGGTCATCCCACAGGATGACCTGCTATTGAAAAAATTTAAAGAGTTTCAGTCAATTTACCATAGCAGACCGATTTGTGGTCTATAATTATGAGAGATACGAAATTAATTAAGAATGCAAGTCTTTATTGTAAAATCAACAGACCCATGCTTCAATTGCACCATGAACAGATGTTTAATTTACCACAGGTTAATTCCAGCCTAGAAATATGAAAAACAGCCACTATAGGAGCCTATAACCAGGCTTTGATACTAGTTTAGAGTGATAAACGCACAAATCAATCAATTAACAAACACAAAGTAAGTTAAATATGCAATAGACTTAAAGTGAATGGATTGAGGCTCATATCAAGAGTCGAAAATCACACAGAAGCACTATACAAATTGAACCTAGATTACCCACTCACAATGGATGACAAAGGATACCAAAAACTCGCTGAAGCTATACACGGAAGCAACGAAATAAGGGGCGAAACGAGATAGTAATCAGAGGGTAAAACGAATGGACGGCAGTGCAAAATTGATTCCCAAATAGTTGGTAAAAAACTGACAAGAAAAGCAACAAAGAAGGCAATCACAAAGGTGAAAGAGACAAAGTAGTCGCAGTGTTAGATAGCATTATTCTTAATTTATTGTCAAACATTAATTTCAATCATACATATTCATAACAACTTCTCACTATTATCTACATATTTTGGAAATTTGTAAACTCTTTATAAATTTGTCAAACGTAGGAACTTCACATCTTAAACTTTTAGACTGATTTAGAGCTAGAAGAACCAATTTTATAAAGTATGAAAGTAAATAAAGCAAGACAAAGCAAAATCATTGGCGAAAGTAATTAGGCAATTCAGTTTCATAATTCATTATTCGTTACATAGTACAAGATTGCAAGTAAGTTGATGCAAACAGAACCATATAAAAAATATCCCATATCAAACTTGATATTGCTCCAGTTGAAGATCTTTAGTCTTCAACGGAACATATTCTCCAAGATACCCTCCAAGATGATCGGCTAACAATGATTTATCGATGTTTTCGTGGTGATACGACTTGCAGATGAAGTAGATTATTGTCTGCATGATGAGGCCTAATAGCATCAAAATTGACAGCAAAAATAGGCATAAACTTCCATACCCTACTCTGTTTACAAGTCCAATTTCTCCCTTCCGAATGACTAAACGATTTTCGAAAAACATCTGAATTCCTGAGAAGCATAGACCTAATACAAGAAAAATACCAACAGAAACTCCCATTTTCCCCTTGATAAGAGCCTGACTTTTTGCCATGGCATTAAGGCCATAACTTTCTTCCAAAACCGAAACCACGCTTGCCAGATGCCATATTACACTGATATATACCATTCCGATCAAGTATATGATGATAAAAAGTAAGGTTAAAGTTACCACAGTTTTATTATATGATCCGAGCAAAAAAAGACTGAAAATAAAGATCAAGACCAAGAATGCAATTAAATTGTATGCAAAGAAAATAATAAAATTCCATATGAACGTAACCATAAGCCTCTTCCAAACCATTGGAACCACACTCATGATCTTTCCGAAGCTAATTTCTTTGGCAGTATAAATACATGCAATTGTATAGACCACAGCAGATGTAGAAAGAAGGGCAAGAATGGTGAAGAAAATCAAATAGCCAATCTTGAACAGAGTATAGGCAGTCAATTCAGATGATAAAATACTCGAGATAGTGTTATATGAAGAAGTACCCTGTGGAGTTATATCCAACATGTATTCATTATGCACGATATCTGCAAATAGAAGCTCTGAAATTTGGATGTGGGCTAAGTAGATGAAGGAAAGAGGAAGGATTAAGGCTAAGGTTATTTGGCTGAAAATTTTTCTCCACGAAGTAACTATATTGTATGACTCTTTGAAGATTCCAAAGAACCCCATAAACTGAATTTCGTCTTGTTCCCTATCCATGATTTTCAGAAAACTTTTAGAGAATAGCGGATTTGGGATTGCAGTTCGAGGAGAATTGGCCGATATATGTGAAGATGGAGGAGGGTTATAGACTTTGACTAGTTGGATTTGGCCATTTGGTCTTGGGTGAAACGGGAAATGGACGATTCCTACGAAGAAATTTCACTACCATTCTTGTTATGTCGTTAGACTTTGTCGTGAATGGCGTGGACAAGAAATCTAAACTTAAAGAATTGGTCAAATTGCCAACATGATTCCGCGTACTCTACTAGGAAAGAAAACGTAAATAACATTATTTACGACATAAATTATTATTTTAAAACTAGGCTTTATGAAACACCCCAAATACTGTGTCAAATGGTTCATATTACATTATTTAAGATGGCAAATTCATTACCAATGGCTGCTTTCGTATTAGTTGATCATATTTAAGGCTATTTTTGGCACATCAAATAGTATTGTTTTTGTTTCTTGCATATTTCTATGAATAATTATATTCATACTAGTGTCTTTATTATTTGCACAACATTTTTCGTTATAGTAAAGGTCCACAACATTTTTAATCAAATGTTTGATTATCCAAATATTGCTCGTAGGGATGCATTCTCTGTTGTCAACACCCTTAAATTTGCAGCCATCTGTTATATGGCACGAGTATTAGAAATGCTCGTTGAGTGTTGTATACGTTCGCATGTGATCTAATAATTTGTAACTTAGAGAACCTCTAACTCAAGATAGAGTAGCACAATAACGGTTGATAAATGTATTTTGTGCACTTAATTGAGCCATATCACTAAGTTTTTATGTTGTTAAAGTATTGACTTCTACTTGGGTTAATTTCGTTTTGTTTTTTAATATTGGGCCCGTTTCAAAGTAATTGGAAAATAAAGAAGAATTAATTGGCCATTGAAAAGAAGTTGAAGGACCAAAATTAAAGTGATTAAAAGTGGAGGATCAAAATAAGGAAAGAATGAAGAAGAGGGGCCAAAGTGCAATTTTTGGAGAGATTCACATAACTACAAAACTGGTTGACAGCCCAGTTATTTAGGCCGAGCAATCGGCCGGCTATGTCAAAACAAAACACAGGCAAAACCAGATGCCTGGGCGATCGCCCTGGCAATTCATGGGAAGAACTTTTTAAAGGCTGTTTCGCGCGAGTTAGTCGCTAACAATTAAAAAGAGATCAGACGATTATGTAAGGGACAAACCTCTTGAGACAAAGTTCCAAAAAGGGGTGTTCTTTATTGGCGGTGACTTTACAATCGGAAATTAAAAACAGAATGCCTCTAAGGGGCGCAAGTACACGAGTTATTGAAAGAAGTGTTTAAATCTAAGTTAAGAAATTTAAAATTATATGTTCTCTGTTCGAGAGTTTTGGATTCGGTCCCTTTGCTCTATGTCTTTACTTCCTTTTATACTCCCTGGATGATCTCTTTGTGATCAACCGCCTAAAAGTGCTGGATCGTTCTATAACTGCCCACTTTCCTCGTAATGGCCAACTTGTTATGGAACTACCTTTTCTAACTGCTGCCATTACTCTTTGTCGTTCAACCGTCTTCAATTAAGTTCCTTGAATCGTGGAACGTGATAGGGCTGCTTTAATAACTGCTTTGATAACTGCACTTCTTGATAACCACAACATTTCGTGTTTGCTAAGACCTTGGGTGACTCGAAAGTTTGGGCGAGAATAGAGTAATAGCTCTGGGCGACTGCATGGCACTCTATTCGCTCAGATTCTGGGCGACTTGCAAACTTGAGCGATGGTGTTACCACGTTCTTGGGCCTCCATATTTGGGCCTTCATCTTAAATTGTTTGATTGGGCTTCGTTCTTTGGGCTATCTGATTTGGGGATCCTCCAATTGGGCTTCATTCTTTGGGCCGTTCGATTTGGGCTGAATTTTTTATGTGTCAACAATTACCCCCCAATATGGCAGAATTAATACCAATTATTAAATTTTACTATATTCACTTTGTGTTTCCAGCAACATTCGAAATTCCCAAGAATTTCAATCATTGTTTTCTTCCATGCTTGAAAAGGTGCGACGTTTTGCAAACCCTTATAACCCCCAAACACGCCATTTCACTGCACTATTAAATCACGCCTCACTTTTTCGCATTTCTCTCCGACGATTTACTGTTCATCTTTTTGCTTCCCTGCTACGTAACTCTGAAAAAACTCCGTTTCATCCCTAATAGCTACCTCACAATCTCAATCTGGCGACTCCTTTAGTTTTGATGACTTTCAAAAATTTCTGAGTCGTCCATACATAACTCCGAACTTTCTCGCGCCCGCCAATGTCGAACTCAATGAGTTCTACCTAGGTTCTTTCTTCAACAATGCAGAGGTAGTCGAACAGGCGGCGGTGGGCCAGCTATTTCCTTGTACTCAAGGCCCTCCATTTCTAAACTCTCTGCCACTGGGGCCACTTCGCGAAAGAGGTATTCGCACTTAGCCCAAATCTGACGTAGTTTTCCGTAGGTGGCATGCTCGCCTTGTGGACCATGATCCTACTAAAGCACTTTTTGATAATATTAGAATTTCTGATTTGTTAGAAATCTCTATTCAATCCCCTACTTTTGATTCAGCACTTTTTTTGATCGCTCTAAGTTTTTGGTCTTCTGAATATAATACCTTTGTTTTCCCTCTTGGCCCCATGTCTATTACTTTAAGGGATGTTGGGGCCCTAGTGAATCTACCACCTTTGAACAATACCATTTTCCCTGGTATCTTAGTTTCTGGTGGCGCCCCAAAGTTTGGTAGAAACTACACCGAGTCTTATTCAAGCCTGCAAGCCCTTTATAACCATTCGAGCGCTGAGCCTTCCCATACTGAGTGTAGCCTTTCTTTTGGTTTGGCTTTATAAATATATTTTGTGTGTGCCAAGCATAAAGCCCTCCCTGAGCTATTTACCCATAGTGCACGAATTAGCGCGTAGCAGGCCTTTGAATTTATGTTCTTTCTTTTTGGCTGCCCTCTATAGAGGTATGGCTTCTCTTCAAACTCAATTGAAGAATGGTGCATCTCCTACTGGCAGTGGACCTTTTTGGTTCACTCAAATGTGGTTGAGATCCTATTTTCCGTTGCTTGGTACTCCATCAATTTCTCGTCCTTCTGCTAGCTGTTATGGGCTAGCCATTGAGCCCCTGGCTTCTGTAAATTTGTCTAGAAGGGACATTTTTTCATTCTTTTATTCTTTTGATTCAATCCCTTCATTCTTTCATTTTCCTCCCTTTTTGACTCCAGACTATGTGCATCCTCCCTCTACTATAGACAGCGCGAGCACCTCTCTACTCATTTGGATCCAGTTCTTGACCGGGAGGGAGTTATTTCATGATATTTTGACGGGGACCAATGCTAAGGCAGGGGTAGAAATATATGCTCCCCAATTTTTTGCTCGCCAAGTTGGTTTCGGCCAAACCTGGCCTGTTCCTCCTTGCTATTCAAGGAACTTGATTGACCGCTTCTATATTATCAATAAGGCGGAGGCAGAGGTTATAAATGCTCTCAATCTTCTTTTGACTAGCCATTTTTCATTAGTCCCTTTCAATTCTAGCCATGCCATTCACCCCCTTTTTGAACAGTTCTAGCCGTCAGTGAAGAGCAGATTATTTGCGACTGATGCCAATCGTGCCTTTCATTTACTGGACCAGCCGAGCATTTCTTCCCCTCCTCTTGTTTTAGTCACTCCTTTGTCCATCCGGAGTCCTTCTCCTCCTCGTCGCGCTAAACAGTCTGCTCGTCCATCTTCTTCTCTCCTTGCCAAGCCTATTGCAGCCAAAAGTGCCCCAAGCCGCAAACGGCCAGCCTCAGCATCTACCATTCTGGAGGATGATGTTGATGATGATGATGATACCCCTCTTATCATCAGGAGGAAGGTAATTAAATTGGTTTACTCATAAGCATACTTTTCCATACTTGAAACTTTTCTGTGTGCTGATGATTTATTTAGACTTCTCAGAAAAGTTCAGCCTCTCCTTTAAAGGCTTTGGTATCGATAGCTCCTACTCCATCATCTTCCTCTGAGGCTGCTTCATCCAAACCAGCTGATGAAGGGACTACGCTTAAAGAGACATTTTCAGTCCCAGAATCCTCATCACAACCAATGGATGAGCCACCTTCTTCCCAGGGCGTCAACCCCCCAAACATCGAAGCAGAAGGTAATTCAGTTTTTTGATGCTTCACCTTTGCTTGTGCTATTGGTTTCTGATTTGTTGCTTTTGAGTTCTGCAGATGCTCCTATGAGTTTTCCTGTTGTGGGAACATCTTCTCGCTTAGACAAGGGGAAGTCCTCGCGAATGGTGGAGCCACAGGTGGCAGCCTTGGCTGAGGATATGCCATCTTCCAAGATTATTGATGAAGTAATCTTTGCTTCACTTTTATTTCCATCTTGTTCGTTGTAGTGAGAATCTTCAGTAT